ATTCTGATTGTAGTTCTGGTTCGGGTTCATGGGCTGCCATGGTCGTTGTGGCTGCTGCTGCTGCGGCATTGGAGCCGGGAAGGGGTTCACGTAGGGCTGCCACTGTGGAGGAAGAGGCAGTCCTGGAGGGGGGACAGGAAGCCCAGGGATGGGAAGAGGCAGTCCGGGAGGGGGGATGAAAACCGGGGGAGGGTTCGGGTTGGGAGGTTGCCGTTGCTGCTGTGGCTGGCCCTGAACAGGCAAGCCGTTGCGAGGGTTCGCGAACTGCCCGTTTGGCTGGAAAGTTGCTGCGGCCGGGTTGAGACTCGGGCCCCGCTGATGTCCTTGTCCTCCTGGTTGTTGTCCTCCCCGCTGCTGCTGCATTCCTGGCTGCTGCAGTGGCACTTCTTGCTGTAGTACTGGCGGCAGTGGTGCTGGCTCCAGCCTACGAGTCCGAGGATAGCGAATGCGGCTAAAGGTCTGGGGACGATCCTCCTTCTCGATGGGTGTCGCGTCATACAGCTCGACGTCGCGGAAGGCGTCGATGATCATCTGCTGGGGCGGCGGCCGCTGTCTATCGCGGACGAAGTCGAACCCTTCTTGTCTCTGTGGCATGGGATACATCGTGCCTGGATGAATCTGGTTCAGAGTCATCTGCTGTTGTTGCGGTTGCTGCTGCTGCTGCTGCTGCTGCTGCTGCTGCTGCTGCTGACCGCCTTGTTGGATCGTTCCCGGGGCCGGGTTATGGACAGTCTTCAGGCGCAAGACGGTACCCCGCTGCTGGGGGTTGCCATCCTTGCCCGTCCGCTTTCTCTTGTCGCCAGTGCGAACGGGCTCCTCGTCGTCGTCGTCGTCGGTGTCATACTCTTCCCCGTTCTTCGTATGGGGCGGCTGCGGCTGCGGCGGTGGGCCGTCACCGGGGACGCGCGGGCTGCTGAAGAACTGGTTGGCCCATCTCGCGACGTGGTCGTCCGACTCCAGACCATTCTGACTTTGGAGTCGAAAATCGATAATGCCATCGAGGTGGATCAGAGTCGGCCGGGCCGCGGGGTCTTCCACCAGGCACATCGAGACGGTCTTTCTGAGGTTGCCGTCGACGTGACTGAATCTTGGGTCTCCGAGGGCGCTCCCGTACGTCACTTCTCCGCCGAACTTCCACCCGACGACAGGATCTTGGAACTTTGCCCCCGTAATAGCACACCACATCTTCATCACCAAGTTAGCCGTGATCAGAAAGGAGATGCTTAGGGGTTGATACTCACGATGACTCCAACCTGGTAGATGTTGCAGGGCATACCGTAGTTACCAGCAATTGATGGCTTATTGGCTTCGAGGAACATGTTAGATCCGCCGTCGTTGAAAGGCCGAAGTGAGTCCCAGGACCTGTGAAATTGTTCCTAAAAGAGTCAGTATGCCCACGAAAATGGTTTCTGCATGTTTACTCACCGGTGTGTGGTAGCCCGGCTTTCCTAGCGAGCGAGCTCTCCAGAATATTTCCTCCCTGAGAAAAGAAAACTTATGTCAGCAAAGGTTGGCACTTTGAATGAAGGCAAAACTTACGTGAATTCATTCGGCTTTTGATTAGCTTCGTCAAAGAACTTGGCACAGCCAAAGTCCGAGATCTGGATTGAGCGTTAGCTTGTAATCAGTTTGTGACATGTTGTGACATTACCTTGAAGAGCGGCATAGGGCCGTGGGGCTCTAAGCTCACTAGGACTGTACACAAAGTTAGCAATACCATTCACAAAATGATTTGTGACACGCTTACTGTTCTTGGGGTCTAGATCAAAATGAACAGTTTGCTGGGGCTTCTTGGTGCCGGGGATGGACTCTTCAATGGGATAGTTGGGATCCCAGTCAGGGTGATCCCGTCCATAGTTCTCCTTCGGGGGATATCCAATTCCAATAAGCCCCTTGATGACTGCGTAGTTCATGTCAGTATATCGTAAACATGTATCAATGTCCGGGGCTCAACTTACGGCACTTGAACAAAAGCCAGAGAGCCTTATTAGGCCAAGGTCTGCCAGATCGACTGGACTTGTTCAGCCATGTGTGAAGACTCTTTCCGTTGGCATACTCCATCAAGATGAAGCTGCGCTCCCGCTGGACTTTGATGTCCCAATTTTTGTCCCGAGCCTCTGTACTCGATCTGGGCATGTATGGTCTCTTACCCTCGTTTTCGGCGTCTCTCTTGTCGTTGATTTCTTTCGTAAAGTCAAGGATTTGGACAATGTGCTTGGCCCCCTTGAATTTCTAGAGCAACGAGTTAGCAAAGAATATCCGATGTCGTTTGGGACAGACTTACGTTGAGAGCCTTCTGCTCCAGCTTGATCGAGTCATAAGAGGCGGCAGGGCGGGTCTTTTCAATCTTCATCACGCAATCCGTCCTCACGTTGCGGTTGCCCCTGTGTTCGACAAGAGCAGCGATGCCAAAGCCGCCAGCGGCCAAGATCCTCTTGAGGGTGATGCCGTATCCCTTGGCCATTCGGTTTCCGTCGGGGCCATACTGTTGTTGCGCTATCTCCTGGTGGATGTCGTCCATATATTGTCTTCCGGCGTACGGGCTCCTGACTGTGTGCATTGGATTAAACTGACCCAAAGGCTGCGCTACGATGGTGCTGCCATCTTGCGCCTTTACTATGAGGTCTCCCCTGATTCGGGCAGCTTCCAGCCGGGTTCTACGCATTATCATCTGCCTGTTCATCTCTTTCGGATCCGGTGCTGGGGCTTGAGGTGCTGGGGCTTGGAGTGCTGGGCCAGCCATATTGTTGCCCGCCATTGGGTTTCCTTGGTAGTTGGCCATGTTGGTTGTCTGAAAGTGCGATGAAATTTGTCGATGGAGTCAATGTAAGACAGAAAAGGTGTGTAAGCTGGTTGTATTATTGAGTGGATGTTGGATTTTGATATTCATTCTGATGTGAGACTGGACAATATGATATATATACAACGTTGTATAGCTGCCAACTCAACTCGAAGGAAGCCGTACAAAGGAGACATTTTGAGAGTGAGTATACAAAGGCTATTGTTCTTGTCGAAGACATTCTTTATGGATCGAGGATACAAAACCCCAATATCATTGTCCACTTGGAATGATCAATCATTGCAGCCTTTGAACCATCCATTGTTGTCTTCATTCCTTCCAAGTTGCCTCGAATCCTTTGCTGCTGGCCAGTTGTTTTCCAAATCCGGAGGCTGGACAATGACACCTCAACTCAAGTCCGAGTTGCATAAGGGGAGCGTTCTTGTTCGATACGGAAGAAATCGCGATTTAGTTTCAAAGATAAATTTGGATGGAAGTTGTTGACTTGTCGAACTGCAGTCATCGCCGCTTGGCGCCTCTTTGGTTAGAACAAGTAGACCGAAGAAAACAAGTAGGGTGTGTAGTCAGGGCGCGGCGAAGCCAGGCCCACCCGGATGAAATGCCAATGGGGCCAGCTCCGTTGACACCCCACGCGCCCGCGCACGTGGATACCAATCGCTCCGGCAAATGCGCCGCGATGCATGAGTAGAGGCGATGGGAAGTGCGACATTCCGCGTTGGCAGCGGCGTGGCTGCGCTTCGCTAGTCCGGCCGACTTCAGCCTGTGATTTTGATCCCAAAATCTGGCGTGCATGGCTGTTGATCAGAACAGTAGGGTCTTATCGTCTGCAACGGTCTACGACGTAAACTGGCTCCGCGTAGTAGTCGAGCAACAGTTTGGAAGCACATTGACATTTTGACTGACACAATTCTGCAGAGAAGCGTTGGTGATGGAGAAAAGAAGCCAATTAGCCGCGCCGGGTGGTATTTAGGCTAAATGCCATTTAATCGGGTCTCGGCGAAATCATTCTCCACAAAAGCACCTTTCCAGCGGGGCCTGGAGAGAAACAGCGATTGACAGAGACAGCACCTCTGGAAGGCCAGACCAGCAGAGCGGGTACCGTTGGAAAATATGAGGCAACTTCGATCAAGGACACTCCGCGACAGATGATACAGGCATCAATGTCTCACGGAAAGCCCTGTGCAAAAGCGACTACTCCACGCGGTGTTTCCCACGGCCTTGATTGACAAGCCAACTTTGAATTGACAGGTCTGCATCGCGCTTGGAGGGGGTGCACAAGACCCTTCGCGGCAAGAGTACGGTGGTGTTGGACAGCCAGTGGCAGCCCACCAAAGCCGCCAGCATCAGAGTTGAATGACAACCATGCGAGTTTGGGTTACCGTTGCTTCCTCTTGGCTTCCCGCGAAACTTCACAGGGTTCCAGCGACAACGAGGCGACGGGAAGCTTGAACTCCAAATTTACCCCAAATTCGGGTCTTCTTCACGGTCCCCTCAAGGGCTCAGGCTGATTTAAACGCACAAATGGGCGCGTTGCGCTGTGCAGCGGCCACCCCATCTCAGTCATCTCACGTCTCTCTCCACTCCGAGCTGGCCGCCTCTGCTAAAGGTCCGGTGCATTATCTTTGCCTGTTGATATTTATCCATGCCAATCGCTTCCCCAAAGTATCGCCGCGTCGCGGACCGGGTCTGGCAGCCGCCTGAGCCCTCTCTCCAGCGGCCACCCCTGGCTGGTTGGCTCGGCCTGGGGGCAAACCATCTGTGTGTCGACTTTTTCCTATCGGTGCCTTCCCCCGCCGCCAGCCTCTCATGCGTTTAATGAGCCGCCAGTGCTGTACGGTGACGGAACCATAGGCTGTTTGAATCTGGAGACTGGTTGGGGAAAGGCACGAGTTGTCGATGCAGGGGATAGCAGAGGGAGGTGTATCTATAGCTACCATGCTCTGCCGTACCTACAATCCGAGCCAGACCAGTCTTGCCTCGTGTCCGTCTGGTCAATCTGCCTGGCAACCACAGACCCAAGGCACCTGACGTATGTGTGTACCTGTTATAAATACTACTTGCTTTGCCTCCTCTCCATCCCAAGTGCTGCCCTTCTCTCTCCTCCTCTCTCCCAAGTCTTTTCGTGTGCCTCTTGATACCCCCATTCTCCTTCTGGCACCATCTTCCTTTCTCCCAATCAGAACGACAACCAGACGTCACAATGGCTGTCCCCAACATCAAGCTTAACAGCGGCTTTGAGATGCCCCAGGTGGGCTTCGGTCTGTGGAAGGTCGACAACGCTATCGCCGCCGACACCGTCTACGAGGCCATCAAGGCCGGTTACCGTCTCTTCGACGGCGCCTGTGGTAAGTAAACAACACCAGTCTCTTCGTTGCGATCCAGGACACAGGGAGGGGAACAAGCGTTCAATCGCCGCCACGACGACGCAGCCAGAAATGGTACGATCGCGGGAGAAGGCCTAAGGGCAAGAAAGCGTGTCGAAAACACGTTGCTCGCAGTCAGTCGCCCGTGGTGGTGGTGGTGGTCTGCTTGATCCCCTCTATGATTTCTGGAAGCCTGAGTTACCCCTCCTTCACCCCACCAAAAATGATCGGTGCGCATTTCTGCAGAGGCCGATGTTCCCATCAGTGCAATTCCGCCGGAAAGCTCTCCGCAACATCCCTGCACCCCAGCCTAATTCATACCCCTCCCCTGTCAACACTCACTTACACTCGGGGCTCGCCCCCGTCTTCCCCGACATCAATCACATGAACCAAATTTCGGGCCTACATCACACGCATCCGAATCCAAGCGTGTACACAAACGTGATCCTAACGGCGCTTCTTCTCTAGACTATGGCAACGAAGTCGAGTGCGGCCAGGGTGTTGCCCGCGCCATCAAGGAGGGCATCGTCAAGCGCGAGGAGCTCTTCCTCGTCTCCAAGCTCTGGAACACCTTCCACGATGGCGACCGCGTAGAGCCCATCGTCCGCAAGCAGCTTGCCGACTGGGGCATCGACTACTTCGACCTCTACCTCATCCACTTCCCCGTCGCCCTCGAGTACGTCGACCCCTCCGTCAGATACCCTCCCGGCTGGCACTACGACGGCAAGTCCGAGATCCGCCCCTCCAAGGCCTCCATCCAGGAGACCTGGACTGCCATGGAGAGCCTCGTTGCCAGCGGCCTCTCCAAGAGCATCGGTGTCTCCAACTTCCAGGGACAGCTCCTCTACGACCTCCTCCGCTACGCCAAGATCCCCCCTGCCACCCTCCAGATCGAGCACCACCCCTACCTCGTCCAGCCCGACCTCATCAAGCTGGCTGCCAACGAGGGTATCGCCGTTACCGCCTACTCTTCCTTCGGCCCTGCCTCCTTCAAGGAGTTCAACATGGAGCACGCCACCGACTTCGTTCCTCTGTTCGAGGAGCCCACCGTCTCTGAGATTGCCAAGAAGCACGGCAAGACCAACTCTCAGGTCCTCCTCCGCTGGGCCACCCAGCGCGGCCTTGCTGTCATTCCCAAGACCAGCCGCAAGGAGATCCTCGCCCAGAACCTCGACTGCACCAGCTTCGACCTCGAGCAGTCCGAGATTGACAAGATCAGCAGCCTGGACCGCAAGACTCGCTTCAACCAGCCCGCAAACGTAAGCTTCCCTGGGTGTTTCCTCAGTTCAAGGCAAAATTAACACTTAGTAGTACTTCCCCACTGAGAAGCTCTGGATCTTCGGTTAAGTGGTCTGCATATGATGCATTGTCGATCCAAAATAATAATACGTACCTGCAATATTATCAGCACCTGCCTATCAAAGTGGCATGTTAGTAGTCCACAACTGGCGGTGTGCAAGGGAACCATATCGGGTGTTGGTCGAACCACGCACTGTGCGTCGATTGTATCTAGATAGCCGTCTCCCTTCGGCATGACTGTGATCTGCCGTTACAATACAACCAAAGCCGTGACCAAGACAGTCTGTTGCTCCCGCTTGTACAGCATGCTGCAGCGTGTTTTCGCCAATGTCAGAATAGCCGCCCGCCCGTCCTTGAAAATGCTCCCTCCCATGCTCAGCAAACATAATGGTCAAGAGAGAGCGCTCGGTAAAGAGGTATCTCGAGTGAAGAAGAAAGATCCCGATATGCTCATCTGCCCGACCGCCCCAAGGATCTAATCAAACGCCGTTGTAACGCCATGCCGGCCTCGTAAATTCATGCTACAGAGTGAACCAGGCCGCTATGTTCGGACAAAGGCTGCGAAAGTTGGTTAGCAATCTTGGTGTCGACCACTCAACCTGTGATTGCACACTTACTTGCGTCGATCTGGGATAATTGGGGCAGCGCCAGACGGACTTTGTTTCGGTACACAGCCGGGCCTCTTAGTTGCAACGGGTTGCCCTCGAAGTAGACCGTCGTCAGGTGCTCCTTGTCCTTCAGCTCCTTCTCGACCTCGTTAAAGTCGGAGATCTGGTTGTAGCTGGCCCAGAACTCCTCAAGGTTCTTGAGCGGCTTGAGGCCCTTGACGCTTGCGACGGCGTTGTTGGAGATGTCGAGCACGCGCAGCTTCTCGTTCTGCTCAATGCCCTCGAGGGAGGTGAGGGCGTTGTGGGAGATGTACAGCTCCTCAAGGCTGGGCACGTCCTTGAGAGGCGAGAGGTCGCGGATGCGGTTGGACTGGATGCTGAGGAGCCTGAGATTGGGCAGGCCGCCGAGGCCGGTGAGCTCTGTGATTTTGTTCTTTGCGACCCAGAGCTCCTCGAGGTTCTTGAGGGAGTCGAGGTTCTGGAGGACGCGGATGCGGTTTGAGCCGAGCTCGAGGCTGGTGAGGTTGACGAGGCCGTCGAGGTTCTCGATGGTGCCGACCTTGTTGGCAACGAGGAAAAGCTCCTTGAGCTTGGTGAGGTGGTTGACGCGCTTGATGTGCTTGATCTTGTTGAAGCTGAGGTCGAGGCTGGTGAGGTTGGTGAGGTCCTCGAGGCCGCGGATGTGGGAGATGAGGTTGTCGTAGAAATCGAGGTCCTCGAGCGTCGGGGCGAGGGCGGAGAGGCCGTCGATGTCCTGGATGCTGTTCTGGCGGAGGCACAGGCGGACTACTTTTGTGAAGCGCTCGAGGCGGAGGGCTGGGATGGAGGCGACGCGGGCGTGGGAGACGATGAGCTCGTCAGTGTCTAGATCTTCGCCGTCGAGGAGGTCTGTGGGAGGGGGATAATGGGTTAGCCTGTTGAACATTTCTCACGACTTTTTTTTTGCGGCTCCACACGGAGGAGTGAGGGCATCAGCAAACTTGCCTTCATCTGCGGGGAGTTCCTCGCCCGGCACCACGTTCTCGTCGTCAGACTCCGGGTCTGAGAGCACCTCTGGGTTCGCGAGGACGGCGGTCCGCTGTACCCTGAGCTTGCCATCCCATCCTTTGCTATTCCTCATACCAGGGCTGGCCTGGCCATCGTGACGCGGGGAGCCCTCCTCCTCCTCCGGGAGCTCGATGCGCGGCGAATGCCTCGGCGAGTGCTCAGTGGGGGTTTTGGGGTCGACGGAGCCGGGCATGGTGTAGATTGCGCTCGTCTCGTCGCGAATGGGTTGTAGAATTGGTGGTTGTGTAGTTTTCAGCGTCGCTCCTGTGCGGGTCTCGAAGTTGGTCGGTTTTCGAAAATGGCGGGGAAAAATAAAGGATTAGCGGTGATGATGATTTCTCAGCGCAGTCGCGGCGGTTTAAGCGGGGGTTGGAGACGGGAGTTCGGTTGGTAGAAGGGGGGGTTGAGGAAATATGGAGGTCGGGAAGTCGTTCGAGATGGAGGGGTTATGTTGTTGACAGGACGTGCAGAATCAGGATTCCGTGTCGCATGCTGGGATAAGGATGGGAAATCTTGATCTGGCGTCAGTTTGACTGTCAGCCGGGTCCTGGGTCTGTCTGATTTATGTATTATGCCCGCGGGCCTGGAGAGGGGAACAACACATGCATGTGGTGGTACAACTGCGAGTGACTGAGTGAACGCACTGTAAACTGCCCGCAGATTGTGAGGTGATAAGTGACTGGACGGGGATGGGATGGCTGGTGGGACTGGCGCAGCGTCACAGGCCACCAGCACCAGGGACCTTCCGAAGAGACAGCCCAGAACACTGGCAAGGTTTGGGGATCGCTGGTTGGCGGAATGGTTCCAGATCCACGAGGGACGTTTGGCGCTAGAGTATGACGTCCCAATGGGTCTCGTCCTGCGAGAATCACGCCGCGGAAGGGAGCCCAGCAGTACCTTACTACCTATTACCTATTCGCAGGCAGGTAGGTATGTATCATTAGCGGTTTGTCATTTGAATGGAAGCGTCTTCAGGCGACGGCGGGCACTGCGGGGTTGGGCAGGTCACCCGGCCATCAGAGAGGGACATAGAGATGCAGCCACCTTCCATGCTGCTGGGAGCATTCAATGGAAGCCCATTGTCGCTCGAATGGTCCCTGTAACGAAAGACGGTGGGTGCCGTCACAGTGGTTCAGCGCTGTCTCAACTCGCCATCATGTCGGGTTTTGGCACTTTCCCATCCCCTTGACCAGGCAGGATAAAGTGTTCCCCTGTAAACCTTGAAAAAAAAAAGACGGTACAGTCGACGAAAGCATCTTGTCCATCTACCTCAAATCGGGCTGGAATCCTGCGGACCTCATACCTCGAGCCGCCTTCGTTGCTGCCCGCATTGTCTCGCCCATTGTCTCTGGACGGAACGGGCTGCATGCCGACCACATTGGACGAGTCCAGTCGTCTTTGAACACATGCGCGCCATGTCATGACCCTCAGTCCACGACGGACCCTGATTTGCGAATTACCCGGCCCCAATTGAACTGCTGCCGCAACTTTCTGCCGCCGCGCTGCACTCAGAACGATCTTCCATCCTTCCATTCTCAGGGTCCGGCGACACAACCATCACCACACCACGGCCCGACACACGCCTCCATGTCTCGCAAACGGTTGTGATGCATGCCATCCGCCCCTCCTCGATTGGGCATCTCCTGCGCCGTACTCGTCGTCCGCACGCACCTCTCGTCACCTCACCATGGCGAGCCACGTCTCTGACGGGTAGTCTGCCGCTGCCGCCGCTGTCGCGCCTCGGCGTCACCACCCAGAAGAGGCAATTGCATGATGCGTTCCTCTTGCCCCCTCTGTACTTCACCGGTCTTCTGCTCGCCTTATGGACGTGGAAGTGTTTTATGATGGTTGTCTTCCAGAATAAGATCATTTACATGCCAGGACTGCCGCCCACTGCGCGCCGCGAGCGGATCGAGGACTACGACAAACAGTGCTGGGGCGTGCGCTGGGAGGAGAAAAGGGTCCAGGCCGTCGATGGGACGGATCTGGCACTATGCGTGGCCTCGGTGACATCCACTGGCGACGAGAAGACCACGTCGCCCACGGAGCCCCTCGCCGTGCCGTCCATCTACGTCCTCTACTTTCAGGGTCCGCCCCATCCCCTGCTGTCCTCTGCGGGCAGTTAGCAACAAGCATCATAGGCTCACCACGATTGCGATTAGGAAACGCATCGTCCATTCCCCCACGACTGCCGGACCTATCATGGGTCCTGCGGACGCTGCAGCGCAGCAAGCGGCCCGCTCGATATACAATGGTGTGCCTGAGCTACCGCGGTTACTGGAGGTCGAGAGGCCGCCCCTCTGAGAAGGGCATCAACCTGGATGCGCAAGCGGCTCTGCGATGGATTGGGCAGATGCACGAGGATAACGTCGGGCACAGGCAGCAGCCACTAGAGCTGGTGATCTGGGGTCAGAGCATCGGCTCCGGGGTAGCCACGAACCTCGCAGCGTGGGAAGGGTTCCCGCCCACGTTGCGGCTAAGGTCGTTGATCCTGGAGACACCGTTCACATCCGTACGGGACATGTTGGGTGAGCTGTACCCCCAGAAATGGGTGCCGTATCGTCACCTGTGGCCGTTCTTGCGCAACCATCTGGATAGCTTGACCAACATCGCGGGGATTGCCAAGAATCATCAGGTCAGTTCGGGCCAGGACAAGCCTCATGTCACTATAGTGGAAGCTGGGAGGGATGAGCTAGTGCCGGCGGACCACGGCGCGAGGCTGGTCCGGCGCTGCGAGGAGTTCGGGCTACCGGTCGAGAAAAAGACGGTTCGTGGTGCTTTCCACAACGATGCCGTCATCAGACTGGAGGGTCGTCAAGCAGTCGCCGACGCCATTGAGCAGGTCGCGGCTAAAATCTAATTGCGAACATGACACCAAGTGAAGTACTAGGCACAACAGACGTTGTGACAACATCGCGGTATTGATGATCACAACGGGACCATGTGTCATTGAAAGTGGGCAAGACCCTCGATATCTTACCATGATTTCGGATTTCGCCTGTCTCTTGACTCCTCCCGGGTGTCTCGAAGCTGGGAACGTTCCCGAATCTCCCGGCGTAGAGATTTTGAAGAGAATTGTCGTGAATTCGTGATACGGATAGTCAGGGGCATATCAATTTGCGTCGACATCTTCCGGAATGCCGGATCACGTCCGCTGGCAAAGATCGAGCCCGGCCTATGGCGTGCAAAGGTTCGTCACAGCTTCAAGGTTCAGACCCATGTGCCGCGCACGGTTCCGTACCCAAAACTCTCTCAACCTCGACTCCTAGTGACGAAGGAGAAATGAATGGCCCGTTTTGTGTCTTCTGGAAGAAAACTTTGAAGTCGAATTGACCCGTAAAAGGGGAGAATCGTCTCGGCATCTGATAGACGACGAATTTGCCTTCCGTGTAACACAATTCAGGCAGGGGCAAAGCATACGTTTCTTCTTCCAGCTTGGTGATAGGATGGCAGAGCACTGACACTCTCTCGCTGCCTTAACGTGGATCTTTCCAGGCAGCTTCGTCGAGCATCTTCACGGCGTCGGCAGTCCTGTGCTCGCGTCCAGAGGTACTCCTGCGCACGCAAGGCGCTGGGAAGCTACCTCGTCGCCGGAGTCCAGGACCCCAACCACCTAAGATTGGCACGCTGTGCCAAACCGGGCTCTCTGACTCGCTTGGTGTGCAGTTGCACCATCTCATCCCTGCGGAATGGCTTGCTGCTAGCATCCGCCCGGTTCGCACTGCCCGCCAGTGCCCATATCCGGCATGAAAACTGGAGGCAGCCAGCCCGGCGCACGCAAAACCCCCCTGAGTCTGGTCATGTGATACCGCATTTCCTACGTGAGGAGTGCAGGAGCCACAGTCGCGGTGCAGGGGTGGGAAACGCGTCCAATGACCTCCCCCATCACCAGTCGCCTCAGTCCTCGCAAAAAGCAGCAAGGCCTCGGAGGAGAGATGTAGGGGACCGTGCTGGGATGTTATCGGGCTGTATATATAGATTCGTGAGCCCCGTTTCTACCCAAAAATTCTCGTCTCTCTCTTCTCTCTCTCACGGGCGCCTTAGGTAGGTCAGCAATCTCTCTCAAGTCAATCAATCACGACAACCATTTTTCACCCATCTTTTGAATCATTCTCTCTTTTTAACGATCGCTTTTGATTTTTTTGATTTCCCCTACATTTATTTCAACACCTACCATTATCGCTCGGCAACCCCGACCGGTCGGTCATTCACCAGCACAATGTTCGCCAGACGCTATGAACAGCCCCCCTCGCAAAGCCACAGGAGCAGTTTCTCCAAGGGCCACAAGTCGAACAAGTCGACTTCATCATTCAGCAAGACCAGCGGCGTTTCCAAACGCCGCGACTCCCGTGCGACCAGACGGCCCAACACGGCCACTTCATCAAGCACCCATGACACCGAAATGAGCAAGTAAGTATCGGCAGCGATTCACGCTCTTTTCACAGCCTACTGACTCAACGTCTTAACAGCAACCTTACCTCCGCGATCGTGACACTCGTCGTCGGCACCGAACAGCGTCTCTTCGCTGCCCACGAAGACGTCCTCTGCGCATCCCCCTTCTTCCAGGCCGCCCTTAGAGGAGGCAACTTCATCGACGGCTCACCCTCGTCCTCCTCAGCCCCCGCCAGACGCATAGCTCTGCCCGACGAAGAACCCGAGATCTTCTCGTCAGTTCTGGAATATCTCTACAAGGGCGACTACTACCCGCGCCTGGTGCACAACAAGAGACGCAACTCGTGGGAGATTGAGCAGCTTTCTGAGGACGGCAAGGGCATCGAGTCGACTGTCTATCATCACGGTGTCGACGGTGACTTGCTCAAGGATACCGTTATTTACTGTGCTGCTGAGAAGTACGGGCTTGAGGAGCTGAAGCGTGTTTCTCTGAGAAAGCAAGGTCTTCGTGAGTACTTTCTAACGTGGTCTTGGAGATGTCAATACTAACCACCGCCGCAGAATCCGGCATCCAATGCAGCACCATTCTCTCATCGGCCAGATACGCCTACGCCCACACACCCGACAGCGACTCCAAGCTGCGAGCCCACTACCTCGCTCTGATCATCCGCAGCCGTAGCACTTTCAAGCGGAGCGGCACGATGCAGCTGGAGATGTACAACGGAGGCACCCAGCTGTTCTTCGACCTCTTCGTAGCGCTGTGCAACCACGTTGATGACATCTCGACTGCGTGAGTTGTCCTGATCGATGTTTAAACTTTGCTTTCGTTAACATTCCAACCAGGAACACACCTCGCACCCCGCGCAGCGGCCGCTAGATCACATTCTAACCATCTCATCTCATCTTCCCAACTTTTATCTCATCCTCACCTCATCCAAGGTTTACCAATACCCGCCTCATACCTAATGACTTCACGTTCTCACGCAATCTTGTCTTCATATCTTTTTTCCTTTCTGTTTCGCATGGGTCGATGAAGCTTTTTGATTTGAACAAACAGCAAAACAACATAAACAAAAGTGGCGTTTGAAATCCCGAAAGGAAGGGATCGGTCACGGCGTTGCTGGACGGACATGTATTTCTTTCCATCCTTCTCATTTGTCGCCATGCCTTTTATTTGGATTTGCATTCTCACGAGAAACCCCTGTACAATTATCATTACCGTCTCTCCAGAGGTCGAGGACCCTCTCATAGAAGAAGAGACTCTGGGAACACACATTATTGGGGTAGCGTTGGTGGTTATGTTGAGATCCCGGCAGACGGCCCTCATACGTGGCTGAATTTTGAAAGAGCCGGGCGCGAGGTTCTCTGTCATGATTAGAGCGAAAAGAAAGGCGAAAGAGAGAAAGTCAGATTGCGTTTTCTGCGAGAACGAATTACTTGTAAAATTACCATTCTTCACACTCGCTTTACGTCGTAATCAAACAGGAGTTGATGTGACTGACTGTATTTGCTATATTGAAGTACTCTGCGTATCCACGATTTAATCCTGAATTTGAAGCTATTCCCAAAAGCCATTCAAGTCAAAATTACACTCTATGCCATGGTCTCGGTCTCAGCCCCCTTTTCTCGGCAATTGCAAACATCGAAACAGGCCGACCCAAAACCTCGGTTCCGGCCCCCATACCCCTCCCGTGAACGACCGTGAATGCCCAAGGCAGAGGCCCTCCATTCTCTAAACGAAGACGAACCAACGCCAACCCGCCCACGCCCACATACCCCCCTGACTATCTCGCCCTGGTCAGTCCTTCGGGGAACCAGACACACCCACCCCCGGTTCCTGGCCTGCCGCACCACTTTCCTAGCGTCCGCCGCGTTTCTGCTAGAAGGCTGCCACAGTCGGCGTATTTTATGAAATCCACCTAGACTCGCGTGTGAGTCATATGTCTGATACTACCACCATACACACCACGCTTTCTGGGGGGGATGTGATAGTCAGTGTCACGGAAGGGGACCGGCCCCACTTTGGGTGACCGGCCGCTAACGGATGCAAGCACTTTAAACATACTTGGCTCGGTTGGACTTTTGGTGAGACGTTAGTCACGGCGGAGAGGATGTGCATTACGCCGAGTGGTTGAATTTTCTGTTGTGACAAGTATTCGGGGAGACGGTTCCGTTGGGTTTTTGGTCGGATACGAAACGAGCTATAGGATCACCCTTGTGTCGGGAGGTTTGGTTCGGGCTAGCTGGATGGTTTGAAGTATAACGTACGTGATTGCGAACCATGTTCACGGGCTGGAAAGTTCACGGCGGGCGGGGTTCGTGTCTGAGTGACGGGGAGGGCGATGTCGCTCCGGGGAAGAGGGGACATGGGGCCTGGTGGGAAAAGTGCCCGTATGATGGAAGCGAGTGTCGCGATCACGACTCATCATGCAAACATGAGAGAGAACAGAGTCACAGTCGGGCGAACCGCAGGATTTGCGTCAGTGTTGCCGACCGAGAAAACGGAGTCCAGATAGACTTTTGATGAGTATTCACAGGTCTGCCTCCCTCCACCACAAGGGATCTAACATGCATGACCTATATGCATGACTGCGCCGCTGAGGCTGTTTCCACCACGCCGAGGCGGCCTTTCTGGATTGGAAGGGGTACAAACACCACAAAAGGGTGGGGAAAAACAGCATCGCTGCTTTAAGAGAGATAAGGCCTATGGTCATGTATGTGTCTCCCTTTCCTTCGGCCGGTAGAGTCCGATGCACCTCGTCTGTAGTCTCTGTTCATCCCACTACACCACCGACACCACCCACACACACCCACTACTCATATGCAGACTATACCCCTGTGCCGGGGAAAGCACCGTTCTTGGACAGGACGACGATGCCGCGCTCTCGCGCAATGTAGCCTTTCATGAGATTCTGCATTCGGTGTTAGTGGACCTGGAAATGAGGCGGCATGCCGATGGCCAATAGAAATTGGGTGTGATTGTGAAGGTTTGCTGCCTTGGGCACTCACCGTCACCAACATGATAATGCTGCCTAGCAGGCAGACGACGGGTGACGGTGAGTATAAAACGGCGCGGGATAGACGCATGAGGAATTTGCAGAACTCTTTTCGCCCGACTGGCTCACCGAAAAGCGACGTGTACAGGCAGGCTGCCATCACTAGATGCACGCGGTGCAGGATACAAAAGAATGATGACGCAACATACCTTGTAAATCATGTTGGCCAGCAGGCACTCGACCTCGTCTGGGTCCACAGTCTCTTGACTGCCGAGGCTGATGGCGGCCGCGAACTCAGCGACAGGGACTCTGGTGCGGCGAAGCTGAGCGGCGCCGGGCTCCTTGGCCTCCTCGAAGCCACCGGCGATGAAGACTTTGCGAAGTAGGTTGCGTAGGGCAATATCGCGGCCGCGCTCGAGGGTCAGGTAGATGCGGCGGCGGACGAATTCCTCTTCTCCTTCTTGCAGGGCTAGATCGAAGTTGCGGAGGTCGCCTTTGCGAATGCAGTTAGAGAGCGGCAGGAAGAGCTTCTGCAGGCGGGGGAAGGGCTCGAGAAGTCTGCTGCTTGGGAGTGTGTGCGTTGTGAGGAGGTGGCATGGGATGAGGTAGGTGAGAATCCTCCTGCTTGAAGTTAGCGGTTGTGCTGGGCTAGGACGGTTTGTAATGACTTGCTCTTGGTTGCTCTTGGCGTCTTTATGACACAGGGACCAAGCCTCGGTCAGGTGCTTCTCAGCCTGGATGTTGTCAGCAGTGATTTAAGGACTGCATCATAGCTTCCTTACTTCGACGTAGTTCTCCTCCAAGAAGAACAAAACACCTTCATAGAACTTGAACGTCACCCGTTGGGACTTGGGGAAAGCCTCCAGAGGAGGCATGTCTCCGCGATTTGTTGACAAAGCTTTCAGAATAGTCCTGCTAAGACTGGCAGAGTTGAGCTTGAAATAAGTCTTGAAGAGGAGGTTGATGATGTAGTAGATGGCCCATTTCCTTGAGTCTTCAAGGGGCGCTCTGAGAACTGTCAGTCGAGACATCTCCAAAGAGTTCATACCACCGACCTGTCACTTAGGCACAGCGTGAAAATGCGCTTCAGTTGCTGTTCACAATCACGCAGCTGTTTCTGCTTCTCCAAATCAGGGTCAAAGTCGTCGCCAAGCTCCATCGCGTTGGCGTTCGCATCGGTGTTGTTACGTTCCTCGTCTGAGCTAATGGCAAAAAGTCGCAAGTGCTTGCCGGCGGTGTAGAGACACGGTATCGTCCACGCCTCGAATCCATAGTTCGTATAGCCACGGATGAGGGCGGTGGTAAGCTCCTTCCATGCCTCATAGACCTTGGTCCACGATGATGACTGAGGTCGGTGTTAGTCATTTCCCCATGCAGCAAAGACATGTATCACGGGAGCTCACCCTACCTCCAGCGCTGGAGTCGCCCTCTACCTTGAGAATCTCGCCAATAGCCTTCCAGTATGCTGAATACACTTCAACCCAGCCGTTTGTCTCCTCGTAGTCAAGCTTGAATTTCCGAGATCCAGACGATCGCCCGAGCAGCATGTACTTGACGTCGTTCTTGACATCTTGGCTGTTTGTGCTCAGCCAGATGGAGCGTAGCTTGTCTGGCTTGTTGACCGGACTGAAAGGCTGGAGTGTTTGTGCGAGTGAGTATCCCGACCTGGCCTTGTAGGCGTTGCGAAATTCTTCGAAATGGCCCTCCATTGTGTTGGATGTAGGTGCAGCCACTCTGACGGTGAGTTCTCAGAGAGGTGAGACCGGGGTGTTGAGATGGACGTTGGGAGGACAGGCGGCGAATCAATGCTCTCTGGGCCGATCAACTAAGGTCCCTAGCGAGGTGCTGGGCCCAGGCGGGAGTGTACTCAGTCTTTAGCAGTGAGTGGCCCTCTGTGATCCGTCCAGGGTGCGTCGTCTCCTCTGCGATGCCCGTTCTCTGTGGACGAGTTCAAGCCGCGCTGTGATTGGCCAAGAGGCGACACCATCAGCGGGACCCTGAACAACGTCTGTCGTCAAGCCGGGAAAGTTCGTGCCATCAAATCCAGGCATCCACCGTCGTCAAATTTCTCGGGCGCAGCCACACCCAGCAGAGCGGAGGCAAGCGCAAGTGGAGACAGACCGGTCGCACCAGCCACAGCCCTTACCCCACAAGGCTTGGCCGCGCTTAGGTCGAGTTGGCACACAACATTTCTCAAGGCACAAATTCTCTTTTTTTCCTTTCCCTTTGAATCGGAACTGACCCTGCAGCAACCACCACGATATCGGATATTCGACCATCGGCCAGCAATTCAAAGTAAGTCCCCAATCGCCACAAGGCACGGAAGGAATATTTGTCTAACAGTCGAGCAGATGGGTAAGCACAACATTTTCTGAATCCTCCCCTCCCCGCGCGAGACTTGGACGCGAATGCGCGACCTGAACGAAATTTGCGAACCGACGACAAACTTTTCGACGCTCGTGATGGACTTCAACTACGACGATAGCACTGGGGCGATGGAGGAGTGCAATTGTCTTTCCGATGAGTTGCTGCCTTACCTTGGAGAAGGAGTTCACGGCACCTCTCGCCCCGGAACAAATTTACCTTGACGTGGCGGGCTTCCTCCAATTCGACACACTGGGGATCAGACAACAATCTACGCTCCAACGGCCTTTGACGTGCAATCTCTGCACAGCAGTTGCAGTCGACACATTCTCTACGCTCTTCCTACAGCAACTACACCATGCATCGGTCAACGCAAACGCAAACGAATCTTGGTCTTGGCGCAGAGGAACTTTTTTGACACCGGGACGGCACGCAGCTAACAGATTTCCGCTCCAGGTCGTCTCACGGAATACGAGGTCATCGGGCGCCACTTGCCCACCGAGTCCAACCCGACTCCCGCCCTGTACCGCATGACCATCTTCGCCCCCAACACCACGGTTGCGAAGTCCCGTTACTGGTACTTCTTGCGCGGCCTGAAGAAGGTCAAGAAGGCCACCGGTGAGATCGTCAGCGTCAAGGAGGTACGTCGTCTCGAGAATCAGGATCAACAGCCCAGACGACAACGAACTAACGCAATCCCCCCAACTCACAGATCCAGGAGAAGCACCCCCTCAAGGTCAAGAACTTCGGTATCTGGATCCGCTACGACTCTCGCTCCGGCACCCACAACATGTACAAGGAGTACCGTGAGATGTCCCGCACCGATGCCGTCGAGGCTCTCTACTCCGACATGGCCGCCCGCCACCGTGCCCGCTTCAGGTCCATCCACGTACGTCACGTGCCCTCACTTTCTGCGATTCGACCGGTCCCACTAACGCAGTCCCATACAGATCCTCAAGGTCGTCGAGCTCGAGAAGGCCGACGATGTCAAGCGCCCCTACATCAAGCAGCTCCTCACCAAGGGCCTTACCTTCCCCCTCCCCCACCGCGTCCCCAAGATCCCCAACCAGAAGATCTTCTCCGCGAAGCGCCCTACCACTTTCGCATAAATTCACTGTGCGGGGCGTTGTTTCTCTGGTTTTCGACAAATGGAGGGGCGGGCTACTACTACTACTGGCAGGTGTTCACTAGGTCTCATGGAACTATCACATTTGCTTTACTGAAGGCAGGGGGCCACACAAAATGGAATGAAGAATCGCAAGAATCAATTTTCGAGCATGGCCAAAACAAGTGGGAAATGACCAAAAAAGTCCTGATAGACCCGGCGAATGACGATACCTGAGTACGAAGCTTGTGAATCATGACCTTTTTGATTATGAGATAATGCCTCTGGTAGTCTGGCTCGGTCAGCAGGTCGGCTTCGTGTTTCCTAGGAAGCACGGGCAAGATGCCTGCTCGGCCGAGCCGTGTCAATTCAAGTTCGTGAGCCAAGACCTTCAGTATCAAGCAAGTGTGACTCCAGTAAACATCAGCGTTTGCATCATCGCGGCAGCCCGCGTCGATTCCACGGATGAAATTGGGACTTATCACGGCTTCGAGTATCACTGCACTCCTCCAGCGTATCCTTGGCCTTATCGGCAACGTAGAGATCGACCTATATGTCGCGGGACAGAGCATTCTTTCTGACTACTTGACGGTACTCACGAGAGAGACGCTCCTGACCCTGCGACGCCCTGCTGATTAGGCTCTGGCAGGTCTTGTAGGGACAATAACGACCGTGGAAGAGTGTATATTTGAGAGCCAAGACCTTGGAATGCATGATGTAAGGACGTCTACGGTGACACTGTAACGTCCCGGTGAAGGGTTCGTCATCAGTATAAGTCGAGGTTTGTGACGTAGTTGCTTGGCCAGCCGTACTCTAGCACCTCAGCGAAAAGCTGATACTTGGCAGTATCGTTCGTCAAACTGTCAGCGTAGACAACGGTGATCAAAAGCGAACATTTCCAGCCGAAATCTTCCCCTCACGTTCAGGTCATCTCGGCATCCCACATCGAATCACAATCCACACCCAAACATGCTGAAAGTTGAACCTGGGATCTTGCTCCCTTTTCTAAAGACTGATAGGCGTAACACATCATATCGTACAGTTCCCTCCGCAATCTATCAATCCCCAGGCGACCTTTCCGTATTCGCCTCGTCCACGAATTCGCTCCATGTACTCCAATCCCACGAAAAGTCCCCAGCGTCCATCTGCAATCCGAAATGGTTGATCAGATCCTGCGGATGGCCCCAGAGCGGCGTGTTACCGAACATGGCCATATCCTCCGGCGCCGCCGGCGGCGGCGGCACGGCTGGGTTGGGCGGTGGATCGACTATCATCGGCGCAAGAGGAATGCCGGCTCCAAGACCAACACCAACACCCATGGGTGCCAGGACCGGAGGCACTGCGCCTGGTGGTGGCATCGGTGGTGGCGGCATTTGTTGACGTGGTTCTGCCCCAACCCCAACGTCAACGTCGACATCGCCATCCCCATCTTCTTCTTCTTCGTCATCGACATCAACATCGCCGTCGCCGTCGTCGTCTTCGTCCTCCTCTTCATCTTGCTTGGCCCCCGTGTGCGCAGCTGCTGCCACAGCCGATGTAGCAGCCGGAGTCGTCGTCGTCGTCGAAGCAGCCCGTGCACTACCCCCACCACTTCCACCAATCTTCAAATCACCCATCAGAGCCTCCGCCCTCGCCGCCCGCGCCTTCCTCAACAACTTCTTCAGCGGCTTCCACAGCGTCCCCCGCCGCGTGTCCGCGATCCGCGCCCCCATCTCCGAGAAGTTCCTGTCGACGACCTTCCACGCCCGCTCCACCAGCTCCCCCCGCGTCTGCACGCACAGCTCCGCCAGCGCGACCGCCAGCGGGTGCCACTGCACATAACTATCGATCCACCACCCGAACCGCTCGCGGTACGTGCTCGTGCTGAACTCGACCAGCTCGATCGTGTTCACCGCCGTCCGCAGCATCGTCTCCCGCGCCACGCGCGGTTTCGCCGCCGCCACCGCCGCCCGCGGCGTGAACGGGTACTGCGCCGACAGCCACATCTTGAGGATGATGATGCGCACCGTCACCGCCGCGTGGTTCGCCGGCAGGTGCGTCGCGTCCTTCTCGCCGCCGCTCCCGTCTTCCGCGGACGACGACTTCTGCGGCGCCGTCCCGAAGAGCGCCTCCAACCGCTGCGCGTGCGCCATGATCTCGTCCTCCGAGGTCGTCGGCTCGGGCGTCCCGTCGTTGTCGAGCGCGAGCTGCGGGTGCCGCGGCCGGAGGTTGCCGAAGATGCCCGAGCTCATGGACGTGCAGAGGCAGAACGTCATCTCCGTCGGGCCCGTCCGGTCCTCGAGCGGCGTCGTCGTGGACGGGCCGAAGTCGTCGTCGTTGAGGTTGTACGGGAGCCGCGTGTTGTACGACTGCCGCGGGATGGCGGCGTCCGTGCCGCGGTCCTCGGCGGCGCGGATGTCGAGCACGACAATCATCCACCACAGCCGGCGGCGCATCTCGGCCTCGAACGGCGGGATGGGAGGGGAGACGCCGTCGCGATGGAGGTGGAGGGCTTGCGCGAGGCGGACTACGAGGGGGATCAGGGCCCATGATGCCCTGCTTGCGTTGTGGGTGCGGAGGAAGCACTGCTTGCGCGTTAGTAACCCCGAATTGTGTCAAGAAAGGTGAGTTGAAACTTACGACGTAGTTTGTGAGGGCTTGGAGGGTCTTGATCTCGGTGCTGTTGAGATAGTCCGCCTTGATCAGCGCCCTCTCCACGCCCTCCCTGTACCGTTGGGCAAGGACGCTCCTCTCCTCGCCCAGGTTCTTCACGCATGCCTGATTTGACAAACTCGTGATGGCCCCAAAGTACATGGAAAAGAACAACGCCTCCGTGGCGTCGTCGATCCGTTTGTTTGGTGCGTTAGCAAACGCCTCCATCTCAACACACGTCGTCGGCCGGTGCAGCACTTTGAACGCCGGGTCCACGTTCTCAAAGAAGATCCTGCACATGTACAAAATCTGCTCGCGCGGCGGGTGCTTCATCTCCTCTCCGCCGGGAGACGCTACCGTGCTGCTCAGAATCAACCCCGACAACGCCGGCGGCGTCAGGCCCTTGTTCGCAGAGCTCTCCGGGCTCGTCATCGGCGCCTCGTCCTCAGACGACTCGTCCCCGTCGGAGGGCTGATCCAGCGCCTGCCTCATGCCCTCGACCTCCTGGCACAGGTTGTCCCAGAACTCGGCGCTCATCAGGTTCGCCGGCGGCGCGGGATGGTCCCAACCCGGGGCGGCAGGCGACGGCTCATCCGACTCACCGCCCCCGCCCCCGGCTCCCGCTGAACTGCTGCTCCGCCCGCGGCCGGCTTGCACCTGCGCCGCGGCCGCGACCGCCGCCATGGCGGCATCCTTGGCGGCGGCGTCGAGGTTGCCCGAGTCGACCTTGGAGACGATGCTCTCGAGGCGGGTGATGCGGTTGAGCAGCTCGCTCTGGCGGCCCTGGCGCGGCTTCCGGTTGCGCTTGCGCGAGGGGAAGACGCAGTCCAGGTCGGAGCGCTCGCACTGCGTGCACCGGGGCTGGACCTTGTCGCACTTGATCTTGCGGTGGCGGCAGTTTGCGCAGCTTAAGGGTTGTTTGCCGCTCGGTTCCTGCTGGTGCTGGCGCGAGGCCGCGCCTGATGCCGGCGGTGTCATTGTTCGAGGGAGTGTGTGTTGTATTGTGTGTGTTTTGATACGTAATGTGTGATAATGTGAGTGAGACGTGTGTGTAATCTCACATGGGAAGTCGAGTGCTGACGTATGTGATGTGTCGCTCGCTAGTCAGGATAGGTCAAGTTCAGGTCGTAGTGAGTGAGTGAGATGGGTGCAGGTGAGCCCAGCTGATGTCGGCCCAAGGCATTGAGGATGGCGAGACTGGGTACGATACACGCCGAGCTGTCGAGAAGAGGTTGAACAACTGCTGTGGACATATGTCAATCCTGGGTTTGCTGACGAAGAAGGAAAAAACAAAAGTCTTGTCGTCGTTGTCTTACTTTTCGCTTGGCGGTGCTGAGAAGGGGAGGGAGGGCGTGGAAACGAAGGGCTGCTGTGCCTGAAAGAATGGGGGTTCGATCTGCATTCAGCAACGACAAAATTCCTTACACTAAAAAGGCACGGCCGTGATCCCCACTTTGGGGCCGGTCGGGGAAAGCTTAAAGGTTCTTTACTCGGGAGCCGGGGGGTCCAAACCCTGCCCAAGGATGTCTTGCCAAGGGCCGTATTTTGTCTCGTTGCTGGTCCCCGGGGATGCAGTTGGTTTGTGTGAGTGTGTGCCAGGAAGGATGCCGGCCGGGTTGCTGGTGAGCAGAGAGCTGAGCCTCCGGGACGGGGGAAAGAGGGAAGGTCAATCAATCAATGACAGGAGGGGGAGAGATGGTCGTCAGCACCAGCGGTCCTAGTCATACTGCGGAGCTTGACACCCCCGTTTCATGCGCTAGTGTAAAGCGCGATAAAGCCGAAGCTCTCGTCGCTTTGCTGCTGCTGTAAAGGAAACTGGCCGACGGTATGAGTCAATCTCGATTTTACAATATAATCTGTACTTTAAATACAAAAAGAGGGAAGTTCCAAGAGAGTTCAGCCAAGCCTGGATTTGCATGCTTTTGCAGTCAGGTCACATCGCTTGGAAATAGACGCGCGACCAAGACATCAGAGAAATCACATCGACGCCAAGACTGTACACATATATATAAAAAACGCCAGTCATCATGGATATCAGCCCAGAACCGCTAGACTTCAAAACGGTCAAGACGACCCTGCCAACACGGCCCCTGCCGCCACACGCCTTACGACAGCCCGTCGTCACCGAGCGGCTCATCCTGAGGCCCGTCTCCGCGGACGACCTGCAAGCCCTGCACACGCTGCGGACGCAGCCCGAGGTGATGAGGTTCTCGGCGGTCGGGCGCGTGGACGCGGACCTGAACGAGACGCGGGCGCGGCTGGCGCAGAACCTGCCGCCCCACGACGCCGACAACTACGACGTCTCCATCTGCCTGCGGGCGACGGGCCGGTGGATCGGCATCGGCGGCTGCAAGAAGCCCAGCGGCGGCGAGCTGGGCTGGCCCGAGATCGGGTACATGCTGCAGAAGGACTACTGGGGCAGCGGGTACGCGACCGAGTTCGTGCAGGCCTTCCTCGGCGCCTGGTGGTCTCTGCCCCGCTCCGAGTGCGAGATCGCGGTCGAGAGGGCCTCCGTGGAAGGCGAGAAGGCCGTCTCGGGGCGCGCGGGGGAGGTGGAAGGGGGCGTTGAGGAGATACTCACGGCTGTGACGGCGACGGATAACCCTGCCAGCCAGAAGATACTCACGAAGTTGGGGTTTGAAAAGTTCAAGGTGTGGAAGGAGGTGGACGAAGAGAAGCAGACGGAGGTCGTCCTCATCGGATACGGCATCAGGCGGCCCAGGCAATAGCCAAGACAATAGCCGGGGCGAGGCGATGCTCCTATGCTAATTATATGACGTTGAATGAGGCAGGCGGGGATGGACCGCCGTCTCAACTTGGGACGCAATCTCAACCTTTGGACAATGAGTTGTCCGAATTAACGCGCACCAGTGTCTTTCGTCATCGGCACAATCGACCCCGGGATTCAGACGACCGGCCGGTAACCGACTGCGAGGAATCCCGGGAGATGGTGGAAGTCAGATCACCGCGTGGTCAGGCCTCGAGAACCCCATTGGCAAGCAGGGGTCGTCCGGGCTGGCGGGCGGCAGCGGGACGGGAGGACACCACCACTGTGACCTCGGACATTTTTGCTCGTCCGTGATTCTCCCGATCGAGAGTCGGCGGCTGTAGGCGCCGTTGTGTCCACATAACGACTTGGTATATAACGAATACGGCTATCGTCCCGAAACCTAGATAGATTTTGAAGCAAATTATCGAAAAAAGGTTTCTGTACGCCAAGACCATATCGTCGATTGTGTAGCAGCATCACGACAAGCGCAGTGAGACAAACTCGACTCAGACACTCGGCAATCAGTGACACACACGTGTAGCTACACACAGCCCTCTAGATCAGCATGTCGCAACTAGGCTTGACTAACAACATCGTCACTGCGACAGGCATCCTCGGATGCGCTTGGTGGGCAGGTAAGCTCTTCTCACGCCTCCGGGGGGTTTCTTCGTGTCACTCGCAGTCGCTAAACTCTTAGCACAGGCGCGGGGCAGTCGTTGTCCATCTTCAGCGTCGCGGCGGCTCTCGAGGCCAGCGCAGAGCCGATCCATGCACTGAAGCTGTGGCAAAACCTATTCTACCGCGGCATGTCCATAGGCCCAAAAGTCGCGGGCCTCACCTTTCTGTCGCTGGCGTATTCGGCCTACGACCGCTACCGGCACGGCCTCGCGTGGAAGCCATTCGTCGTTGCCGGGGCACTCGGTCTTGGAATCGTGCCGTACACGTTCGCCTTCATGGGGCCGACCAACGAGAGGCTCCTGGCGGGTGCGCAGGGCGTGGTGGCGCTGGGATGGTCCGAGACCAGAGAGCTGCTCGTGAGGTGGCAGACGCTCAACGTTGTCAGGAGCTTCTTCTCAATTGCCGGTGCCGCCGTTGGGCTCTGGTATACGGCCTTCCCTTGAGGAAGGGTTGAGAGCATGGGATTCTCGCAGAATATCGATCGTCGCGTATCGACAGGGGTTGGAGACTTTGGGACGGAGCAGATTCATGTAAGATATAGATAGTTCTGGAAAAGGTGCCGAACAGGCGGTTGGGTTTGTTGGTGGGCGGCGGCCCATGCATTTTCAGGGTGGTCATCTTGGTGTGGTTTCAAAGTACCATAAGGGTTGAATCTTGGTAGAGTCAGTACATACATAGATAGCAACAGGCGCAATGCACAGCACCGGGACCTTGCAAGCCTCGTTCGTAAGTCTGGTTGTGACGGGTTCCTGCTCACCTGCTCACCGCTAGATTCGGGAGTCCCAAAACCTTGGCTGCGACTACATCATACACGCATGGCGCAACGCAACGATTGAGACGAGACGGGATCGCGGGGTGGTACTGGCAAGTTTAATGTCACGACAGTCAAGGCGCCGTACCGCGGAGCAGCATCCGGTTGCCAGGTGCAGTGCAGTGCAGTGCGATCTGTGCTGAAGCGGTTGGTGGTGCAAAGACATGGTGACGCTGTCTTGGGTTGAGTGTGTTGGGACACCCTTCATGGTAGGTATCCGTAGTGGCTGAACCGGTTCTTTCGGCCGCGTGGTGAAGGGCGGATGGGATGGCGGGGACAGAGTTCAGAGTTGGCAACGGGATGGGCAGAGTTTACCGGTCGCCCAGCTCTGGGGATGTGGCTGGCGGCGTGTGGTGTTGGTGGCCGTGGGCCGTGGGAGGCACATCTTTGGCGGTTTGTGAGTCCGGCGGCGGCTGAGCGGGTGCCAGCCCCCGCAACAAGGCACATCGCGGCAGGCCGTCTCCAGACGGACTCCAGCGAAGAGGGCTCACCTGGGCAGACTTCCAGGCTGGATCCCGGGGGCCCGGCTGGGCTGGGCATCCATCGTCTTCGACGGGCATCGCTGGTCCGCCAAAGTTGCACTTGGCGAGATACCTTAGTATGGGCCATGGGCCATTAGCTGCCTTGAATTTGCCTTGCCCTATCTCGTGTCGAAGTCATGTTTAATGAGGAACTCGTCAACACCAATTCCGTGTGGATGCCCACCGTTCCAACCCAACATGAATGAAGGCGCCGGGGAGCCCGAGTCGTTTGCAGCGTGTGAGATGGGGGCCGTACGGCAGTGTGATTCGAGAATGCACATGAACCGGTGGAAGTCAGACGAATGGAAGCTGGATGTGGGAAAGCGGAGGAAGCCTAAAGACGTTGAGTGAGGGTCGAGAATAAGCAGTAAGGTAGGTACACCCAAAAGTGAAAGGTACCGTGCCCCAAGTGGAAGGCAGAGCGCAGCGCATCGCATCGCATCGCGTCTCAGCGGCCGGATATCTGATGACCCCATTTATTTTTTTTCTCTGTGTCGAGGTCCACGACCAGGGAAGAAGAGAAGGAAAGGGAAGCTGTGCCATGCCAGGGTGCACGTGTCAGCCCAAGAGCCAAACGTTTTCCCTGTTTGATCGCTATTCTTACCTGCCACTGCCCTGTCCAGCCTGACTGCCTGCTGCTGCCCTACCCATGTCCCATGCCCCATGTCCCTTGTACTGCGGTACCCATGTCCAGCCCCTCCGCTGTCTGCGTCTGTTCTTGGTCTCCCGTCTCTGCCTGACGATGTGCTGCTCTGACCGAGGGTTCCTTCCAGTGCAGGTCCATAGTCCATACCCAAGGTGCTAAGTAGGTAGCTTGCGACTTGACCCCTCCAACCTCCATCCACGCGTGCTCAACCGTCCCGTCTTCACCCTCACCACTCCTGCGGTAAACCCAAGGTAAAAGCTGCCGGTGCAGGTACCCTGTCCACCTGGAGTTGCAGTCCGAGTACTTTAGTTACATCATCAGCTCTCACCCGCGCGCCGCCCAGCTCAAATCAACCAAAACAGCCCTCCTCCCTCGAGTCGTCCGCCGTCGCTTCGCTCTCACACCCTCCGGACTGGAATCATCCATCGCATCCACACACACTCACAAATACGCACTCCCACGCGCGCCAACGTCTTTCGTCTCTCTTCGCGCATGCGCATATTGCCGGCTGCGTGCGCCTACCACAACCTCGCCTACTTGACTCACCGTTGCAGCTGCTTGGCCTCAGCCTGCTTCTGCCTGCCATACCATACCTTGCCTACATTACATCTCCGTCTCGTATGACGATGTTATGGCGGCCCGCATCCCAGGCACAGTCCATCTAGCTCTCGGTTATTAGTACATGTTGATACCCTCCGACTCCCTTCGCAGTCGACACTAGTCTCCCCTCCCCTCCATATATCCAGCAGCTTGCTTTGACAAGACGCATACTACAACGCCACGCTGCTCGCCTGAAGTCGCCCGCCGCGTCAAACGCTCTTATTACCGACTCAAGATCGACCAGCACAAGCCACGGCCGTTATATCTACCCAACCCAGCCCATCCGATCTCCACAGTTTTTTCCCCGGGACCTTCCTGCCCGCAAAGGCACACTGTTGATGTAGAGTTCGGCCCCGGATGGCGACGGCGACCCCAGAGCCAGACTCGAAAGAGTCTCCAAAGGCTCAACCTCAACCTCCACCCCAACCACAACCACAACCTGCAGATTCAAAGCCTCCAAACTTTTATGGTTATTTGATCAACCAGGACAAGGCGCCAACCCCGATTCTAGACGCCCTTCTCCGCGCCATCGCGAACCACATTGTACGTCTGATCGTGTTCCCCATTTCCGCCCGCCCTTGCCTCTCCACCCGGCTTCGCAATTCCAGGCGACAACTGACATACCCCACCAACAACAGATCGCAGAAATCGGCGACAAAAATGTTCAGGCCTTGACTCCTCAAAAGCTTGCCGCCTTCTACAAGGCGGTTGGCGGCAATTATGACGGTAAGCATATCCTTGGATCACCATGTGCAACCTTGCCATGCTGACGTGCCGTCATCGCAGCCCTTTTCATCGAAATGCCCTACCCCGCCATATCTTACATCTGGCAGGTCACTGGGTGCCAACACTCCCTGCAACCCTCCGAAAACGACTTCGATGCCCCTTCCGTACCGGCACTGACGAAACGCGGCTTTGTGCGATGGGAGATAATCGAAATCTTACTTGACCCGGAAGAGCATGTGCCCTTTATCCAAAACGCAGTCAAGAATTGGAATCTCAAGCATCCTGTGACGAACGAACCGTTTCCTAAAGATCTGCCCGACGACGCCTTTCCCGCCCAGCCAGACCACGGGATTTCTGAGTGGCACAAGAAATGCGCCGAGAAGTTGAGGAAAGCTGCGACCCCCAATCCAGACCCGACCGCTCCGAAGCCCGCCGCCGCTGCCGCCGCCGCTGGCGCACCACCTTCAAACTGGCCGCCGGAAAGGGACGAGCCGAGGGTCAAGGCCGCCTACGTGCACGTTCGAAACCCCTATCCAAAGGCATCACCACCTCCGCGCGCCCCCCAGACGGAGTACTTTCCCCCGCCGACACGGCCAGTGGCCTACAGTCATGTACCGGGTCATGGCGGACGTTATCCCCCGTCCCGGCTGAACATCCCAGCGGCCCGATCTCCCGAGCAAGAACGGTACCGAGGTCAGAATCAGAATTCACCGGATGATCGCCGCCGCCGAAGCTTCTCCGACTACCCATCTCCCTCGGGTGATCCCATGTACGCTTCGGAGCATCTCCACCCAAATAGGCCACCCATGCAGCCTCGAAGACATAGTCAACCTCGTCACTACTCGTCCTCCTCGACTTCCGATTCCGAGGAGCCAGGGAGCCCAAGATCCAAGCGCAGGCCTCACACGCACCATTCCAACGAACCCCCACCTCCAGGCTTCCGGCGCATGCCTCCTCCCCCACCATCGGTTCAAGTACCGTCAGGGGCTCGTCTGCATCGCTCGGAGCTACGGGCAGACGACCCTCGCCGTCGAAGCATCCCGATCGTCGAGAAAATCAGCGAGAAAGTGGCATCTATTCTCCCCAATGGCCGTTCACCGGATCGGCAGCGCAGCACTTCAGGTCGCCGGAGCGATCCACCCTCCCGTCGCAGCCGTGAGCATCTTCCCACGTCGAAGCTGAACCGCAGCTGGCCCGACATCGCTCCGGATGAGTCAGAAGAATCTGAATCTGAGGAAGAGGCGCGCCGGCGTCACCGGCGGCGTGAGGTGGAGGAGAGAGAGCGAGCAGAAAGGGAAAGGCAGCAAAGAGCCCGCGACAGAGAGCGCGGCAGGGATAAGGATCGAAGACGCGACAGGGAGAGAGACAGAGACTACGAACATCGAGATCGCGACAGAGGAGAGCGCGTAGTAGACTGGGAGAGGGACGAGGACAGGGAAGCTCGCCGGCGGCGGGAGCGACTGCACCCTGTGCGTCCGGAGGCTCAGCGCCGCACCAGCAGCCACGCCGACATAGATCGCATGCGTGAGCGAGGCGAGCCTCCCTGGGAACCTCGGGACCGTGAGTTCAGAGATGATAGAAAGAGGTACAAGGAACCGCGCGGAGCCAGTCCCACGATTTCTGGCGTTGGCGGGCGTCAATATCCCAGTACCAAGCAGGCATGGGATTGATTTGGACCATGGGCATCGATTTGAGCGGGCAATCTTGAGCGATTTTGGTGGATTGGGCTCGGGTGGACATATAAAGGGATATCATGATGAATAATCTTCACGCTTCAATCTTTGTACAACATGCTTATCTCACCTTGCGGACCGAGAGTCAGATGAGTGCACATAGGGTAATGAGACATGAACATTCTGCTGGAATATCTCTCATTCGTTAATGCATTTCTATCTCAAAATGAAGCCAACCGATGCTATGCTCTGCCAATACAACCAACGTTCCTGCCATCTTACCATTCTCCCTCGAAGCCGTCTCCTTGCTCGTCCTCTTCATCGTCGGACATGAGATCCTCACTTGGGAAGCAAGAAACCATGATGGTGTCAACGGGACCATCTTTGCCAGGGCACAAGCCATGTTGTTGAGAAGTGCCACTATATTCAGAAGGCCCAGAACTCCGGACCTGGAGACACTGGAGCA